CCCCAAAACCCCAAAACCCCAAAACCCCTTTGAGCGATCTTAGGGTTGAAATAAGCACAGGATGGATTATCCATACAGAGCTGGGCTAAGAGATATCCCAACTCCGTGAATCTTGCATCCCTTCTTCGAAGCATAAGTCACTTTTGGTACAGAGATTCCTGGTTTTGACAGCCCTTTGACGATATTCTTAGAAGTTCGAAGACACTTTTGCCTTCTCAACTGATTTTGTGGATCTATAATTTGAAAACAAATTTACTTGATTTTGGCTTGAAAAGGCCTTCAGGAAGTTTCCAGAGGAACTTAAAATTAATCTGGACGTCTGGCTCTTTGTCTGCCACAGATTTGCGTAAATTATTAATAGATTTGCCTAAACTTGAGCTAGGTTTAGTACCATCACGCCAGCCAGAAAGACCACTTGGGAGTGCAGCTAGGCTCCGGTTTAGCGAATTAGTTGGACGAATAATCAATTCTGAAGTATTACTCCTAAAATAAGACCTCTAAAGTACTCATAAAGGACCTCATCCTTGGGACTATTTTTAAAAATCCCCTTTTTGGTAGCAAATTTTTTTGAACTTCTTAAGGAAGAGCTCCTTTGAGGATAATATGACTCTGAAGGATACTCTCCTTCCCTCTTTTGTGAAAAATTAGAACTATTCCTTGGGAGATTTTTGTGAGCCAACTGGTCACAATCAAACTTTTTAGGCTGTAATGAGGTATGGGGACGGGTGATGAAGGAAGATACCTCTCCAGAAATCCCCTCTTGGCTTGGGTTTAAATGAGAATATGAAGAATTAACGTATTTATTCATATTCCGTTTTGATATAATTGCTGTCCTGTTGTTCCTAGCTGGCTAATGGACAAAATCACTTAATAAACCTACCATTAAGCAAGATGCTGGGTTAGGCTTGACTCAGAACCCACTGGTCCTACCACTCCTAACCGGCTTCATTGACTGTGTTGGTTTTGTCTCCTTCAGGCCCTTTCTGATAAGGTTGATGATAGAATGCTTCTTAAGAATTCTCGTAGAATTTTTAGTCATTTCCTTCACCAAGATTCTTTGTTTACTTAGTCTTTGGTTTATCTAACTTCAAAGTGCAAGATTTGGTGAAATTCTTGCCAAAAATCTCTTTCTGAGGGTCTTGACAATACCGAGTGAGGTTGGAAAACCCTAGGTATAGTTACTTGCTTAAATCTTACCTTTCACTTCATTACTATGGATCTTCGGCTGCTTCAGGAGGGAAATCTGGGCATCTCTGCCTTCTCGAAAATTCCATGAATAATTCTGAGCCCTGCGGATATTCTTATTAGTCAATGGACTATCAGCGTATTCGGTTCCAAAAGACATTTCAATATTTTTTTAATTAATGGGGTTTTGGGGTTTTGGGGTTTTGGGGTTTTGGGG